GATACAAAATTGAAAAAGGATTGGCCCAGATCCACTGGGAATTTTCACAATTTTTTTGCGTAGAGCACTCGGTCATTTATAGCTGCTAGCTTGTCCAATAACTCCTGTCCATGAATGTTTCAAATCAATACTTCTATTCCGAATCAAGACTTAGCCGAATGCATGAAGTGTGTTAGGCACTGTTCAGGCTTGGCGATGATGCGCGTCGACGCGCTACCATTACATGAACGCTCTAGCACTAGAGTTGGTAGCGGGTATAGACCGGCGCCGGTCGCTAGTGTATTGGGAGAGTATGGGACAATGGGGGGGGGGATACTAGACGTGCGACAGTATGACTGCGCATCATTAAGAAGCCAGGTCTGCAGGCGGTTGCAAAACAGCAACGTTGCTATTTTTATAACGACTCAATCACGTCGACTGGACCCTCCCCTTCTTCTGTACTCTCTCAAGCGGTCGGCACCGGTCGATACCCGCATAAGGATGCGTAAAGGCCCATGCCGTTGGAGCGCGTAGTAGCATAACGTGAGGCGCCAACGCGCGTCACAGCGCGTTAGGCGCGTTTATACCATTTTCACTTTAAATTCACCCTTTTTCAAACCAAATTCACCCTTTTTCAAACCAAATTCACCCTTTTCAAACCAAATTCACCCTTTTCAAATCGAATTCACCCACCTTCCAAATCGAATTCACCACACTTATTAGGCTGCGCAAGTCATCTACCAAATCACGCCAGACACTACTGCGGGCCGCCCCTCGGCCACGCCTACTTGCTTTCGGAATTTTTGATATTTTTTCAACAATATTTGTATTTTTGACTGCTGCGTAAGGCCCCCCCAGCTGTTGGAGCGCTCCGCCACTTTTCGAAAATGGTGCTAATTCGGCAGTGTAAGGGTCTTGGCTTTCATGCTAGGGTCTCGTTCGTCACTCGGAACAAGAAAATCAGGCAAAGTTTGTTCCGAGTGACGAACGAGACCCTAGCATGAAAGCCAAGACCCTATACTGCCGATTACACCATTTTTGAAAAGTGGCGGGCTTTCCAAAGTGGCGGAGCCATCCATACAGTGGGGGGCTTTGACGTAGCAGGCCAAAAATACAAAAATTTTGACAAAATCATCAAATTCGCAAAGCAGTGGGCTATAGCCGAGTCCGTAGCGACGGGCGGGCCCGCACTGTTTGGGCTACTTGTGATTCTGGTAGCTTGACTGGCACCTATAAGTGTTGATGTATTCGATTTGGTTCGAGGGGTGAATTTTGCGTTTTAAAAGGTCCGCTGATTTTGTTTGGAAAGGGTGAATTTGGTTTGAAAAAGGGTGAATTTAGTTTGAAAAAGGGTGAATTTGAAGTGGAAATGGTATACATGTCGTATGAAGGCGGCGCAGCTTTGAGCACAGCAGAGCAGATTTTTCACCAATGTAGCGGACTCAGAATGGCATCATAGTTGGGACAAGGCCACCTTGGCTGCGCTTCCAACCGCGTCGCGTCAAACACCCGATCGTTTGCATGGATCACCACTATAGATCAGCACAGACAAATTTGTGATTAGGTGACCGCACCCTGTATGAGACGACATCAATAGTATGTGAAATAATTTTGGGAGCGTGAACGGGTAATCATTGACAAAAGGTGAGAAAAAGGAACGATGTGTGGTACGGGAGGCATGATTCCGCACAGAAATGAAGCCTTTCTTCTTTCATGGCCAGTGGGACTACCTGTTGGTGGGTGAGGCTTGCTATTAATAGTGCTGTCATCAGCACCTTCTCCACTCACCTTTGAGCCGTCTAATAGCGCAACTTTCGCTATTTTAGGGCACTACCTACTTAAGCAAGGAATCTTACATAAAGCGGATATCTCTCTTTGGAGTGTGGTCTGAGTACCTCAGGTACTGTAGTTATCCATCACATAACTTTGAGTAATGCTAGCAGGACAATGCGCATTACAGTCCTCTCGTACTCACCTCACATCCAGCTTTCGCGACACCTCCTTCTCCACTTCCAAGTAGTTACACTGCACGTGATAAGACTTATCCACCTGCGTCATGAAGATTGGATGAAACATCAGTACGACTGTTGAGTCCAAGGCTATTCCCCGCGGATGTACCTCAACAATCGTCTCTTAGAGGAATCCTCGAAAGTGGGTGGCGAATTTTGAAATTTCGAGCTTGAATAATGTCGTTGAATGCATTTCATAATGTTCAAGGGAACTCTTCCTAGTTAGCTCGCGAAAAAGATCAGATCAGAATAAGAGCTGGAAAGCGTGGCTGCAATGTGTATTAGGCTTGAGAAGGTGAATTTGGTAGCTCTTCCCAGCGTTGAGAATGGCTCTTATGTGCTCATGATCTCATAATCACAAGCTAGTATGTAAACCGAATGATATCACTAAATTGAACAGAAGATACCGTCTGCGATTCTCGTGCAGTTGGTCTAATAGGCACATACATGGTAAGGTAAGAATAAGAATGCTCCTGGTACCTACCTTTTTGTATCCACTTCATATCTGATGAGTTATTATACTTCTATGGAGTTTTTTAAATGAACATCCAACATTGCGTACAATAGAATGGAATAAATAGAGTAGAATAAATTTTATTTCAAGGGGAATGGGCTCAAAGAGTTAGCTCAGTTTCCGTTTATACTACATACTTTTTGCTAAATTCACCACTGCAATCCGACGGAGTATTGTGAGATCGCAGCTCCAGGGCGACATCCAGTTGGTGAACATACCAAATGAGAACATCAAGCAGCAGCTGGTTCGCAACGGACTCTACGACAATCAGTGCATATCAGAGAACTGTGTTACTTATCCGCACGAAATGATTGGCGACTGTGCGACATGTGGGAGTAATGTACGAAATCCATTGTCAGGCATGTAACTCCATATGTATTGGGGAGACAGGAAGAGTTTTGGACATTCGTATCAAAGAACACCTTGCCAGTTCGAGGCGCGGTACTTCACACCAGCTCTGGGGAGGCATAAATCTGAGGAGCACCATGGTATAGATTTCGAAATAAAGTGCACTTTGCTGACGCATGAAACGGAAATTTCAGCGAGGAAAGCATTGGAGGCATTCTGGATATTCACTAGCAAACCCAGAATGAATAGCCAAGTTTGAGTGTACCTCAGTTCAAACGACCCTTACTAACCGTTTTAGACCCGCACTGGGACGCTTAGAATGACAGAGCGCTGATGTGGCGCCTAAAACGCATAAAAATTTATTATACGAAGACGATGAGTGAGTTATTAACTTATATCTGACGGCAACGTCGCCGTTTGGTTGGCGGACATTCTTCGCGCAAGCGGTGGAACGGCGCTGGTGAGTGTGATTCCACGTGTCGAAAATGTGTAGGCCGGCTATTTATTAATAAATGTTCCATCCTAACAACGCTGCGAGAGGCACAGAAGAATTAATCACTCCTGCTAGCAAGACCACTTTTTTTTGCCGTCCCTCCTGTGCGTGATAGAACCTACTTCCGTCAACGCGTCTCGTGTACTGTCGAACAAGAATTACAGAAATTGAGAGTAGTTCAGCAGATTTAAGGTAAGGTACGAAGGATCCAGCATCAACTTAAGCTTGGGAGCCTGCTCGACCATACGCCTTCTGGATGGAGGAAGCAGAAGGCTGGGCTGCTCTCCTCAGAATAGCATGAGTATTGCGAGTTTTGCTCTTCCTGAATTAACGTGGCCTTCCAATCCAACTCGCTGCCTGGCTGACAAACGGTTCAATCCGAGTCTACCTCGGTCGAGTTCGAAAGTGGGGCGAAAATGGCATCCTAGGCTGCCTTAGCGCAACTCCAGAATGTGGCGCCAGCCCACATTCTAGAGTTACAGTAAGGTTCATGACTTCTTGCCAGGGCTTAATTATCTGCGAGTGCCTTTACAAGCTCTATTAAAACGTCTTGATGCATTAGGAGCTACTGTTGCTTGAGTAAATAAAATTTACTATAAAAAGGATGAAGGATAAAGCGCCGTTAATCATTCCCTTTGTGGGATGCGGCACGCATTCTATATATTAGAACCAGTCGCCTCGCCGGCTGACGCCGGCGTGGCTCCTTCTGATACGGCCCGGCTGCGCCGGGCGGGCGCGGCTTCGCCGCGCGTGCTTTCTTTCACATATTTCTAGATTCAACTGATATCCCCTTTTGTTCTGTACTCCATTTTTTTCCGGTGTCTGAAGTACTCTTGAGCTATTTTACAGATTCTTCGTCTGACTCCGTCCACCTCGGAGCAGGCCCCGCCCACAATGTTTGTGCCCCAATCCTCACCGACGACCCTCTGCTGACCTTAATCCACTTTTTTCCGGTGTCTGGAGTATTCTGGAACCGTTTTACAGACCTTTTTTGTCTGGCTCCGCCCACCTCGGAGCAGGCTCCGCCCACAATTTTTTTGCCCTACAATCCTTACCGACGACCCTCTGGCTGACCTTGATCCACTTTTTTTCCGGTCTTTGAAGTGCTCTGGGGCCGTTTTACAGATCTTTTGTCTGATTCCGCCCACCTCGGAGCAGGCTCCGCCCCACAATATTTTGGCCCCACAATCCTCACCGACGACCCTCTGCTGACCTTAATCCACTTTTTTCCGGTCTTTGAAGTGCTCTGGGGCCGTTTTGCAGATCTTTTGTCTGACTCCGCCCACCTCGGAGCAGGCTCCGCCCACAATGTTTTTGCCCCACAATCCTCACCGACGACCCTCTGCTGACCTTAATCCACTTTTTTCCGGTGTCTGGAGTGTTCTGGAACCGAGCTACAAAATTTAAAATGAATACCCTGCGATTTAGGGCAAGCCCCGCCCACTGTGGGCGGGTCTCAACACGCTTTGAGCGTGCCCTATATTCGCCAGATATTTACATTCTACACTGAGCTTTTTGCGACTTCCAAACACTCTCGCGAACCGGGTTACTGAATTTTGCGAGAAGCGCCGCCCACCTTGAGTACGCCCCGCCCATTTAGGGTGTACCTGCCACAGCTAGTCTGGCGACTCCTTATTAACCTTATTCCCTTTTTCCTCCATCTTTAGGCTGCCCCGGAAGCGAATTATGAACACTTTTGTGCGGAACCCCAAACTTTCGGGGAGTGCCCCGCCCACTGTGGGCGGAGCTTCCCTTAGGTCAAGTGTGCTTTTTATTTCTTGTCCCACGCCCTACCCATCCCCACCTTGACCGGACCTCTCCAAGTCGTTCTTCAGGTCGAACCGAATTTCCGGACAGACAAACTTACAAACAAACAAACAAACTTACAAACAAACAAACAAACAAACAAACAAACAAACAAACAGACAAAGCGAATTATATATATGGGGTGATATTAGTGCTTACTGAATGCTATGTGCCCTATACAATGCCTTGCGGGGGCCAGCCAATGTACAAGTCAGTGTTCTTATCCTCCCAAATCTGGTACCAATTTACCGTCCCCGGAGGGTAGAAGGCTTGGTTGGCCTGGGCGGGTGTCGACCTGGGATTCGAACCCAGGACCGCGCGAGTGGTGAGCGCGCCACTTGTCACTACACCACCTCCGCCTCAAATTAAATTAACATATAAGCAATTGGCTAAAATGTCTAATAGACAGCTTAAGCTACTGCATACTTGCGCACAAAGAACGAAAGATTACGCAAAGCGACCCAGTACCAGTTTGTCTTGAGCATGATCCGTGGGCATTCTCCTGGTTTGCCTCTACCAATACCCAGCTACCGTTGATGAGGATGAAAGAGTCGAAATCAAAATCAAATAAACGAACGTGCAAGAATATAAGAAGTCATCGTAAATCTATGAAATAGAACTATGAAAAAAAAGTAAAAAAACATATGAAAACCTCAAATTAGGGAAAAATCTATATAAAAGGAGACAAGCACGCCTTCTCTGCTGAAGTGTCTCAAATTTGGTAGACTTGGATCACTGGCTTACGTTCGTTCCAGCGAAAGCGCCTTCATCAAATCCTCAAATAAATAAAAAGAAGAAGTGTTCTTGCATACCATTCGACTTCTTCGTATTCCACAGGCCGACATTACTGGGATTTCGATGGTCATCGTCGTCGAGAAGTTTCCATTCAGTCGACATCCAGGGATGTGGAAGAATCCCTAGAAAACCTTCTTTCGCTGCCGTTTCTTTGATATTCAGAGGTTCAAGAGTAAATAATTTGATGGTTATTTCTAGCTCAGTGAGTTGTCTTGTGGAATACTTTACCGAATAGTTGGTGGTTGAAACTGCAATAGGGAGAAACCTTGAAGGCACTGAATAGACATATAGGTGCGGAAATGAAGTTTGAAAAGCTTCGTACAGGATACGTACTTTCTCTGGGACAAACCTCAAAAGGATAAGTCTTTCGATGCAGATCAATCTTTGTTCGAGATGCCCCGCTCATTCTGTATCAAGTGACATTATAAATGCTATGCCGCCTATACAACTTGCGGAGTTAGCTGATGTACAAGTTAGCACTTTTGTCCTCCCAGACGAGTTTTGCTCCAACCAGCCGGCTCCAAAGGATACTGGGTTCGGTTGGCCCGTACAGGAGAAGATAAGAGATATGTACGGGCCTGGACCGCGTGTATTATGCATGATACCACCCCACATCCCTGCGGCTCCTGGAAGCCAATCGTAAGTGTGAGGCTCCATTACTCCATTCAGGGAATTCGAGCTTAAAGGCAGTTGGCACGATGATTTGGTGCTCGGCCTAAAATGCTAGTAGGCGCTACAGAGTTGGGAAAAGGCGAAGAGAACGGAGTGAAATGGTCAAAATCCTGCGAAGAAAAAAGCCTCCGTTCTCAATGTGTTCAAAATCGTTTTCGGACGAGTTTCTGGTAGATCTTGACAATCACCACTACCGAAGATACGGCTGCATATGTGTATCCATATATGCATGCAGCATCACGGCCGCTTCATACCAATCCCTTCGCTTCATAATTTGCTTAGCAAATGAATAAGTACATACGAAGCGTCAAGAAGGGTCCGCCCATTTGTGGGAGGCCGGGCGTGCAGGGCCGTTTGGCGGGCGGAGTGTTGTCGCTAGATAGGGCCCTTATAAGGACACATTCCTTAGAAAAGGCATTATGTAGCGCCTGCTCGGGGTCGCGGAATTCCGTCCTGCCAGATGTATCAATCCCACTCGTCTTAAGGGATTTATCGTGCCAACTGCCTTTAATATGATAATAGGGACGTCAGAGCTGTTCAGTTCGCGGTCGCCAGCTTTGAAGATTCCCTTGCTTACCGGAAACTGATACGAGCGATGTGATGCGCAACGGAACGATACCAGTTTCATGCCGCATTACTAACTACGCAACAGCGATCGAATACTGCAAAGAACTGTTGTGGTTTGGAGCTGATAAACGCTGCGGAATGCGTCGTGCAATTAGTTTCCATTTGTATTCCAGAAGCATCTAGCACGAGTACGAGCTGGGAGAAGACTCTGCTGCTGCCAACCGCTCCGCCGTGAAAGTGGTCACTTTCGAAGGGGAAAGCTTGGCTGATTACAGTAAAGAGCGCGCTCTCCAAGGCAGGAGTAGCCGTATCACAAGGTACAGTTGTGATACGGCCACTCCTGCCACTATGGTCATTCCACACAATCAGTAGCCGAACGAACTCGCGTGGAATTTCAGGAGCCCATTGGCAGATTTCGCTCACTTCCTGGTACTAGAACCTAGAACCTCTCAAGAACCAAGCTACCGTTACGTGAGTTCTCCATATCTAACTATCGTTCTAAATAACGATAATGTCTGATGAACAGTGCCTCTATCTTCGATGTCTTTCTATCCGAT